TCCCAAACCCCAGCTGGTGTGGTCATTTTCTTAACTTTTCTTAAGACTTTATCCCCCAGTCCTAGAATTAGAGTATTGTGGGCCTTATCTAACAAATCCTTCTTCTCCTTATCGGATAGATACTCTGGTAGGCTATCCTCCCCCTCTAGAGTAGTAGACAATCCATCCTTAACTAAGACTGCCTTCATCTTCATCTTCCATAAACCATAATCATTATCCCCTGTGAATTTTTCTACCTCAAACTTAGACATTTCTAGGTTTCTAACCTTCCCAGTTACTCAGAGGGTAAAAGCCCCAAATTACCCGAGACTAATTGAAACCCTAAGTTAAAGAAAAATTGCAGCTGTGGAAACAGATCTAACCCTAAACTACTGCAGATTCGAAAAGGATCTCACAACCTAGAATAAAACCTAGGTGCTAGAATGAAAACCTAGCTCTGATACCACTTGTTGTAAATAGAGACCAAAATGGAAAACCAAACAGTACAATAATCCAAGCAGTAGAAAAACACAAGTAATATGAACATTAAGAAAAGCAGAATAATAAAGAGAGACACACAAATTTATAGTGGTTCGGTAATCACATAGATTACCTACATCCACTCTTCAGGGCAATAAAGAACCATTGACTATGAGAATAGAGAAACCTTATAGAGATTTACGCTCACTCCTTTACACAAGGCAAAACCCAAGTAAAACCCCTCTGTACAACACCAGTAAAACCCAGATGTCCTCACCTCTCATACATGATACAAAGTAACTAGAATCAGTGACAGATTTATACACAAAGAGAAGGCAAAACAGAAAATATAGCTAAGACCTACCACCACCGTTTGATTCCATCAACGATTTTCAGGTTTCCAGCACATTCAGATTCATAACAACTTTCTCTCTCTGTAACCAAGAGAGAAAGCTCAAGAATGAGAACTGAGCAAAACCTAATTTACATTAGGTTTATTGAAGAATGGAAAAGACAGAATTGCCCCTCAATCTTTAACAAATAACTTTGACCACCGAAGTTATAAGTTGACTTCCACGTGGGCATAGGTCAATTGCAACATCACAACAGTTTACATGTTTGAATGAAGCTAAATTTTGGATATGTTGTTGTAGACTTCTTGAGGAGTGTTTAGAAATTTGTTTCACTCCAAAAATCGAAGTAGTGGATTTTCTATGGATTTTTGAAGTTTGCCCTGCAATTCTTGAATTTGGGTTTCTGCAGAACGAGTAGTTTAGTAGATGATTTGATGCATCTATTCCTTTTTAAATTTGATGATTTTAAATTCTTTTGAATCCTATAGGTGTCTAGTTTGATACTGGAGGATTTCGTGCGGTTTAGATTAAAGGTTAAATTGTTATATATTTTACAAGTCAATAACCTCAATTCTAGAAGCAGTTGGCAGTTTTGAAAATGTTGAAAGAAAATTCTGTTTTAAATGGTTATTGACTCTAGAATGGCTTGGATAATTTATTTGAACCTCATATGTGTGTCTTGAATGCCCCATTAAAATTATGGCTTAAATTGATGAATGAAATTTTTATGAAAAATCCTGGAGTGATCAGTGTTCGGTTATGAGACAGTTTTTGTTAAAGGATGTTAAGTTAATATTTTGTTGTTTAAAATGTCCAATGAATTTAATGTTGAAGTGTTACCATAGGGAGACCTTTGCATGGAGAGGTCATTGGATTTCGGATAAAGGAAGACAAGCACATACATTGTTACAGGAATCCGATCCCTCTTTGGATCAAGAATTTAGCTTCAAAAGGTGAGTGGACCAACCAAAATTTCCTTGCTAAAATTCTGATTTTCTGTTGTATGTAATGCGTGGAAGCTTGTTGTTGTTGAAAAATGGCTTTTAGCAAAATCACATGGGGTAGAAATGATAATGGAGAAAGGTTTAGGGACTTATATATAATAGGCCAAGAAAAGGTTGTTTGTCCCACATTGATTAGAATTGAAAAGTGGGAAACTTTTGGGGCCTATATATAAGGACCCATATCATTGTTATTAATCATCCCAAGTTGTAATTCCATTACTTCTTTTTGCAAGTGGTTCTTTCTTTAAGGACCCTTTAGTTTGCAAGTTTTGTTGTATCTCCCCTTTGTTTTGGGTATTTGTTGTATTGTCCAAATATTTGTAATATTGTTTGGAGATAGTGGAGCTTTCTTTTGCAGTGCCCGAGGACGTAGGTTTTAATACCGAACCTCGTTAATTCCTGGTATTCTTTATTTTTGCATTTAATTTTGGCAATTTATTTATGCTTTATTACTTGTATTATTATATTCAATAAGCTAGCGTTAGAGTTTATGTTTCCGTTGCATAACAGTTGTGGCGTTTGATGTGTGTTTTGGTGATGAAAAAAAAAATGCATTCTTGCTTGGTGGGTATTTTAGTAGACTTGAAGATTTTATGTTTGTAACTTAATGATGAATTTATGTGTTTATATATTTTGGATATTGTATAATGAGCTTGATTTGAAATTGATTGTGATTGGAAACAAATCGAGCCAATTGGTGGTATTGGTTTGCTTGATTTACAATTGGGAGTGTTGGATATTAAATAAATGAAAATGGTATGGATTGCTTTAGGAGGATGTGGATTATGTTGATGAATTGGCTTAGTGTTGTTTAATCAAGATCATGATTATTGGCTTATGAAAATGTTATATGTATATTGGCATTAAGTGTTTGATATGCATGATTATGGGTTATGGATCATGTATTGGAAGGGAACTTTTGGCATGCATGTGTGTTTGTGTGAAATTGCATAATTTGGATGATTGGAAATTAAATTGTGAGAAATTGCATGTGGAATTGCTTATTAAAATGGAAAATCCAGCCAAATTTTGGGGAGGGCTGGTTTGTTTGTTCTTGATTAGAGAATGAGGAAATTGTAGGGTAATGTTGGTGGGAATAGAGTTATTGTTGGGACGATATGAAATTCTTGGTTTCGGTTGAGTTGCAGTGCAAACTTGGTAGATATGGGTTGTTGTCAAATTGAATAAAATATTGGTGGCTGGTTTATTAACTCTTGATAGATTGAAGTATTGATGTGCTTATAAAAAGAGATGGGATTGGCCCAAATTTAAGAAGTTGTGAGTAATGGGTGTTTTGGGTTGGCTTATAATTGTGACAAGATATATTAAATTAGTATTAGGTTTCTTTTTATTTGGGGGGCATAAGGCCCAAATTTCTTTGCTTTGGGTTAGTATTTGATTGTAATTGGTGGAAGGATTCCCAAGGGGGCACATTGTCAGTTTTGCGATAATTGGAGTACAGGTAGGGGGCTAATTGTAATATTTGAAACCTTTGGGAAAATAGGTGGACAAATATGAGGTGTAAATTGATATTTTATAAGTTGGTATACTTTGGAAAATTATACTCGTATTTACATGATGGTTTTACTAAGAAATATATGCCAGCCATATTTGAGCACTTGCATGAAAGCATGTAATATTATTGAAGGTTGGGAAGTTCGAAGGTGGGATTGTGGAAGTGTTATGCGGATTGTAACCACCTTTGTAGTACCGTCTCCCTGAAACATCAGTTAGTATTTATATTCGGCCTCATGCACGCAATGAGATGGTTCATACTACTACATTGTGATAGCATCCTATCAGGACAGTACGGACACCTAACGAGCTCCAAGCGGGATTACACCAGGCGCATATTGACTTGAGTGAGATTATGACACCCAGTCGGTATTGGCTTGGGTGGGATTTGATGAGACTATTGGGCAGGTATTGGCTTGAGTGGGATATGATTAGCCTTCTGCGTGTATTGAGATGACCCATACTTCTGAACGATGATGATCTACACCATCCTATCGGAATAGGTAGGGCGCTTGACGAGCTCCAAGCGGGATTAAACCCTGAGGATAGACCTTAGGAGGGATTTGACTGATTACACTAGGCGGGTATTGGCCTAGTTGAGCAGCTAGTTGGTTGTCTATATTAGGGACCTTGGGTACTAGTGTGGTAGTGGTGATGGTGGTGGTGGTGGTGGTTGCATTAACTGAATGAGTGGAACTTGTGAACATCTAGCGGGTATAGGTTGGGATGAAATTTATAAATATCTAGCGGGTCTAGGTTTGGGTGGAAATTGTGGACACTTGGCGGGCATTGGCGTGAGCAAGAGTGGGTTTTGTGTTGGGAAATGCCTACTCAACTTTGATGATGGTGTATCGATTTGCGTGAAAATAATACGATGATCTATGGTAATTGGAAAGTTTGTACAAGGATGCGAATTTCCTTGATGGGCATGAGTGGAGATATGAATCAAGGAAATTATATAAGGAAAGTGTGGTTTCATTAAGGGAATAGTTATGTGTTATGTGAAATGCAAGTTTTACTGATGCAGGACGGTTGAAAGTTATTTTCATTTATAAATTGTATTATCCACTCATTGGGCTTCCTAGCTCACTGTTTTATGTTTTTCCCCCAGGATTGCATACAAGGTATACGTGAGGTGCTTGCTATACACATTCGGTTGGCTGACAGACATATGTTCATAAGCATGATGTTTATACACATTAGAAACACCCTGATACATTTGTTCTATAAACTGCTTTCTAAGATTTACGTTTTTCATAACTATGTTTTGTGTTACACTATTGTCATTAAAATTTTTATGAATGGAGTTGGTAAATTGTTTTTTGAAAAAAAAAAAAAAAAAAATCACCCTCCTCTTGGGATCTTGAGTCCCTCAAAGTGCCCGAAGTCGACAGGATAGGAATACCAGGGAGGAGGTGTGACAATAAATCCTTGTGAGTATGGTCTGATTAATTTTGCCCTTTTGGAATAGATTAATGCTAGGTAATTAGCATAAAAAATCCCATCATATTCAAAGAGTGAAATATGGCAACCTTATATTGTGATATCCGTATTTTGGATTAATAATAATTATTTAGATAAGATAAACAAATATTCAGCCGTGTTACTATTTTCTATGCTATATAAAATTTAAAAAATAAGAAAACAAAATAACAGAAAATTTAAATACCTTGCTTAAAAACCAATGATATTTTCGCAAAATGTCAAGCTTCGAGTAACTACCAACAAAGTGCAAGCACCTGGTTTTGATCAGACCTTTATCTGAAAGAGGTGAGACAAGAAAATAAATAAGATGTGAAGTAATTAAATATAAATTAATGTTAAAAGAGGAAAAACTATGAAGCATTGTTGATCATTCCTTTAAATAATTTAATTATAAAAAAGAGGAAAAACATTTTTTATTATTTTGTTCCTGTTTGATAACAAACAAAGTTAGTTCAGACTGGAGTATGCATTTCAGTGTAGGTAGTAGTGAATATTCTTGAAGCGCCTTTGTTAATATTTGCTCAATTACCACCCCAAGAAATAAAATCATATCTAACCTTACAAATATTAAAATATCTATTTCTAAATAAGATAAGATATATATATATATATACAGTTACACCTCAATAAATTAATATCATTGGGACCATAAAAAATTTTATTAATAAATTAATATATTAAATAATCGTATAAATTAATAAATTATTAATTTATTGAGGTATTCTTTATTTTTTTTTCCAAAACATTGAACTTAATACATGTACATATTGTGTATAGTTAATGTGGTTAGGGAATAGTTCATAGTTAATGCACTTAAAGCAACAGTCACATTGCATAATTTTCTCTTGCAATATGAGAACACTGCACTAGTGGTTCTTAATGCACTAAGAAAAATAAGAGATGAGATCCAAGAAGACATCAATTTCAAGAGGAAACAAATAACATTTGACTCATTTTATAAAAGGCCTCCTAATTGAGCCATGCATATATATAATTTTGATGTATAACGAGATTATTAATTTATATATCAAGTGGTATCTATGTGTGTTTTTTTTTTTTTTTTTTTAATGTATTATCTTATAAATTTAGCGAATTATTAATTTACCACATTGGTCCTAAGAGTATTATTTAATTGAAGTTATTAATTTATCAAGTATAAATTTATCGATGTTTAACTGTATTTTTTAACCTACACAAGGTCAACCATGGCTCAAGAGGTCCACCTTTAGTTAAGACATTTTCTTTTAATTTTAAGATTAACATATTAAACTGTATGATAAATTTTGGTTTCATGATGATGCTCTAAATCAAAAGTTTTAAATTAGGGTCTTCTCTATTAAGCTATATCCATATTGTAATAAATGTCAAAACCACATAAGAAAAAAATGATGGGTGCGTTTGGTTTATTATTTTGGATAGGATTTTGGGAATATTATTGAATAGTTGGATAGGAGAGTATTACGAGGTAAATTTTAAAAATTTATAAAAAAGTCCCTATGTTTACTAATTTAATTAAATACCCCAATATATAAAATGACAAAAATACCCCCACGACCTGCAGTGCCAGATTCCGGCCACCACCGCCGAAATCTGGCCAGAAAATCGTGTTAAGATATAGACCGGTCGAATCTGTGTCGTAACGCGTTGTTATGGCCTTTTCCGGCCAGATTCACCACGGATCTGGCCGGAAAAGGCCAGATCTACCGCCTGCTGTGGCCGTGACGATAGAAAAAGGCTAAAAAGACGGCCATCTTTTATGGCCGTTGTTTTTGGTCAACGATGGCCATTTCTTTGGCCATCACCGACGGCCAGATCTGGCCTTTTTCGACCAGATCCACTGTGGATCTGGCTGGAAAAGGCCAGATCAGTGAATTACCGGCCAGTTCTGGTTGGTAATTCACCGTTGTGGCAAATTCTGGCTACACCGATGGTGGTTGCCAGAATCTGGCAAGTATAGGTCACAAGGGTGTTTTTGTTAATTTTTAAACTCTTTTTCAGGGGGTATTTAATGAAATTAATAATCTTATGGGGTCTAAAAGTAATTAAAAATAAGGTAATATTTCTGGAATAATGTGTCAAACATTATTTGGAGAATAGGATTGGGAATATGGGCAGAAATAATAAGACAAACATGCCCGATATTTCCTGTACCTTTTTTCTGTTAAAGGATATTTTGACACGATAGAAAACTACACACTTTGAGAGACTATTATGACCTGCATTCTGCAAGTGAAACAATAAAAATAAATAACTAAACAATAAATACGAACTTTAAATATTGTATGCAGTCATACTTGATTAAACTGGAAGATATTATACTCTTCATAGGATTAATAGCCCACAACCCTGAGTAAAATATCCGAACAATGGCTAATAATTAGTCAAATATCATAAATTGTTAAGAGTTATAAGCTAAAACCAGGAGACAACAAAGTCAACAGTTACCTCTCTTCTTCTCAATCTATATAAGCTATTTTACCTCGTCTCTTACGTTGTAACGAAAAACATTTTTCCAGAAGCCTTAGCTCGCAAGTTTTTTCTCTATTCTTAGCATAAACTGACTTAAATTAACCAAATGTAATAAGAAAATGAAATTTCAGCCCTATCCTTGGAACAATGGAGGCAGCCTATATGCAGTATTATTCTAAACAAAAATTTTTGTCTTCTTTAACCCATATGGAAAATTAATTTAGACATGTGGCCATTGACCACACATTCTAAATAAACTTCAGCCAAGCCAATGAACTTCAAAACATTAATTTTTGTAGTCTTTCTTTAACTTTTTAATGAAATAATTTGTAGTGGTATGATAACGAAGTTTAAAGATGATAAGTATCATACCCAACTGTGATGATGCTATTTGAGCTTGAGAATCTGTGGTCACAATTCGCAAGGTTCAACTTTATGAACTAGGATATATGTCTAAAGCTAGTATAAAAGCTTGTGACTGATACCTTCTAGGTAAGAGAATCTGAAGTAAAATTCCACATTTAGAATGAAGTGTATTTGAGATCTTCGATCAAATCCTTGCAAACTTTAAGTTCATAAAGACATTAGCAAATAAATAATAGCAAAGAAACCAACTAAAACTAGAAGAGAAGTTGAAGTTGAAACATCATACCAATTGGTGTTCTCCTTGAAATGAAACTTCTCTGGTATCTGTAAATCTTTGCACAATCACCTCTCTACTTTTATCAATGGATGACCACAATATCTCCAAAGACTTGACCTATCAAATGAGAAAAAGATAATTAAGTAAAATATAAGTGACAGCATTATTAAGTTCACCCTAATAACAATTTATCTATTTATGCTCTCTAGATGTTCCTAAGGATCCTTTGGTTTAAACTAACAATCCAGATCATTTATAGTAAAGTTTACAAAGTTTATAGATAATGTATAATAATGAAGTTGAAAAATAATAAGTAATCATACCAACTGTTGATGATGCTATTCAAGCTTAAGAATGTATGGTCACAATCACAGTTAACATAAAAGTTAGTATCTATATCCAAGACATTTCTCTGCCAACTTGCTAATTGCCTCCTAAGATAGCTTATTCCCACATCATTAGAACTTGTATTGTCGACCATTATTGTGAAAACTTTAGAAATACCCAATCAAGCAAGCACCTCTCAACTGTCTTCCCAATGATTATACCTTTATGACTACTTATAGGACAAAAATTTAAAATCCTTTTATGTAGTTGTCAATTCTCATCCCCAAAGTGAACCATAAGACACATATAATTAAGATTTTGACAACTTGTCCATGCATCAGTGGCGAGACAAACTGTGTGATTAAACTTACTAAAAAACTTCTTCATTTTTTCACTCTCTTTAATATAAATTTTGAAAGAATCTGTAGCCACAATTTGTTTACTTTTCCAACCCTATTCTATTTTGTTTTAATATTGTTCATAATTAAATCATATTCTATTCAATTCAAAACATTTAACAATCACATTTCTTAATAAAAAATTATAAATTAACAAAAACAGCCCCACCCACCCAAGCAACAGTCGCCCACCAGCGCAACCACCACCGCAACCACCACCACAAGTCGTCGAAGCCACCTCGGCCACCAGTGTCAGAACGATGCACGATCAGTTGGATCTGACCGATCGTGCGCCGATCTGTCCGTTTTCGACCAGATCTACGGGTAAAGATCTGGTTATTGACCACAGATTCTAAATAAACTTCAGCCAACCCAATGAAGTTCAAATATGAAATAATGAAGTTCAAAACAAATTAATTTTTATAGTTTTTCTCTAACTTTATAATGAAATTTTTGTAGTAGTGTAATAATGAAGTTCAAAGATGATAATTATTATACCCAACTATGATGATGCTATTTGAGCTTGAGAATTTGTGGTCACAATTCGCATAAGTACAGCTTTATGAAGTAGGATATATATCCAAAGCTATTATATAAGTTTGTGATTGATACCTTATGGATAAGAGAATTTGAAGTAAAATTCCACATTCAGAGTGAAGTATATCTCAAATCTTGCATGGTTTAGTTGGAAAAAAGCAAATTGAATGAAATTATTCAAAGTAAAAGACCAATAATTTTGATTAAAACCAAAAAGAGCAGGAAATTACCTTCTTCTATAAGCCAATATAATTCTCCGTCACTAAGGGGACTTCAGTTGACTTGACTATAGTTCACAGATATTAATTAGTATATCAAAACCAACTAAAAGCAAAAAGTAATAAAGATCAACAATAAATAATTATATGAAAACGTATTGTGTATATGTCGTTGATCGGATCCTTAAAAGTAAATAATAACAAAAAAAGAAGTTAATTAAATCAACTAAAACCAGAGGAGATGTTGAAGTTGAAACATTATATTGGTGTTCTCCTGGAAATGAAACTCCTCTGGCATCCGTAAACCTTTGCACATAAAACTGAGTTGAGAGAGAAAATGTAATTTGGAAATTAAAGTATTCTAACAAATGCGTGTGAAAACTGCTTTTATCATTGGACGATATGATTCAAAGATGGACGAAATTACGGTGGAGACATAGTGGGACAGCAATGAATTTCTTTCTGACAGAAGAAAAAGAAGAAGACAAACAACTTTATAATTTCAATGATCCACCATGTTTGCCATTACCTTGCTGAATTAAAGAGACCACAAAAATTCAGGAGCTGCCAAAAAAACTGCAACACTTTATATTGTAAGTGTTCAATGTGCAAAAGGGTCAAGATCTTGAGATATTGTATTTTCTTTTTATTATCAAATTTTATGAATGTTGATAGCGTGTTCAATAGATAAAAAGTTTACTTATTATATATTATTAAAATGCATAATAATCTATTAGAATTATTTCATTTTCTCAATAACTAACTGCAATACATTATTTACTATATAACATTCAGCATTATTAATTCTCATAAACAATTTTAAAATTTTAATTTCTCAACACCTAGTCTTCTTAGTCAAGAACAAAAATAATCAGAATATGTTGTCTTTTAAAAATGCTAGACTACTTAGCCTATTGTTATTTAACATGGTCTAGTACATTTTAATTAAACTATTAAATACTATACTATTAAATCTAATTTGATTTGCTATACTCGAGCGTTATAGTAAACAAAATTTTTATTCTTTCTTAATTTTATAGTTACATATATCCTATAAATAAAAATTTGACATTATAGAAATTAGAATTAATAAAATGATTATATAGGTACAAATCATTTTTGAATGTCATAAGTTAAGAAAGTAAAATCTCTCTTTTAAAAAAAATGAAAAAAAAAAAAAAAACTCAATTATTTTGGGTGGATTGAAGATACTTTCTCAAAATTCATCATACATCAAACACGTTGCAGTAAATTTAATCACGACTAGTTGATCTTTAATCTTCTATTTATTTTTATTTTTTTCTTCTGTTGGAAAAGCTAACTAGTTGATTGAAATAATTTAAAGTGATCTTACAAAGTCCAATTTTTTTATTATTAATTTTTTTTTTTTAAAATTGCAAGTGGAATTACTGACCCACCATGTCTTCCACAAGTTTAATTCCCATGAATTAATTAATATGACGTTGCTAGCCCTAATTCTTGATGATCATGATTCAAAGATATTTAAATAAAATATAAGTTATATGGCATAGGATTTTGTATATTTAAGCATACTTTTTGAAAATAAAATGATAATAAAATGAATGTTACATATACAAATAATTAATATTTGATCTATCTCAAAGTACTAGACTATTAAATCTAGTATGACTTGGTATAGTCTAGGGTTATACTGTAATAGCAAAACTTTTTATTGTACATAATTTTATAGTTACATATATCCTCTAAATAAAACGTTTGATTAGAATTAATAAAATGATTATACAAGTTAAGAAAGTAAATCTCTCTTTTAAAAAAAAAAAAAAAAAAAAAAAACTCCAATTATTTGGGTGGATTGAAGATACCTCTCAAATTCACCGTGCATCAAACACGTTGCAGTAAATATAATCATGACTTTATTGGTGTGGATTGAGGATTTCTGTAAAGCACCTTTGCCATTTCAATGTCAATCCAGTTGTCAAGGGACACTATTGTCATTTCATGTGCAAGATATTTAGGAAACAACAAATGAAAATGTGATAGAAATGACTCATGATGAAGTTGTATGTAATTGACTTCTGAGTCAATGTAGAGGAATATGTCAAAATTATCCGGAAACATTGTGTGGACGTAAGAATTTGGAGAACTTCCATTTAATTGCTAATCAAATAGACAAGGGACATTATGGTCATTTAACAGCCAAAATTATTTCCTATTTTTTTTTTTTTTAAGTACGTTAATGTTCCTTAAATCATGGTTCTTATCTTTTCTTAGTCTTCTAAATTAACTTCAAAAAAATAAAAACAAATAAACAAAAAAAATCTAGGGCATTTAAGTCATTTGCCATTTTTTTGGTTAAAGTTAACAATAAATAACTGTTAAGTGTCTCTTAATTGAATAATGTGTAACTTTTGTCTTTTAATTGAAAAAGTTTAAAAACTTTATATCTTAATTGATAATATCCCTAAAAAAATATGTTGTATGTCTATAATTGACTTAGGAGTATAACAAGGAACTTGGTAAAATTATTGTTTAGAAATATTGGAGGATGTCTGCGGGGTACCTTTGAAATTATTTTAACCAAATTTTGGAAACTACCAAGTTGAACCATTCTCTTTAATTTCTGGCATAAAATTTGGAGTAACTAATTTTTTTTTCTTTTGTCAAGTCTGAGAGTTGATTGATTTTGACTAATATAGTTATAAATTGAACCATAATTATATCTCATTTTTTAAGGACGTAGCCAAGATTGTATTATAGAAGTCAAGTTACAATCGATAATACAATTGTCAATGAAATTTAAACAGTAATATATTATATTGAGTAGTTATTATTTATTATATTTTTTTGTAAATAATATTTTTATAATAATATTTAAAAAGCATAAAACGTAGTTAAGATAGTTCACAATTGAACACTTTATTGAGCTAACACCTTTCACTAATTGATTGAAATAATTTAAAGTGATCTTGCAAAGTCCAATTTTTTTTTTTCAATTGCAAGTGGAATTATTGATCCACCATGTCTGCCACAAGTTTGAATCTCATGGATTATTTAACATGACGTTGCACAATATGATCTCTTTTTCTTTCCTTTAGCAAGTGGGATGACCCCATCTTCTCTGTCACCAAGTTTGCATTCACTTTGGACTAACTATGAGAGCAGGAACAATTAGGGGTTATTTGAAAATTAATACACCTTTGGTAGGAATTGAACCTCCCAATCAAGGGATGAATCAATAATTTTTTTCTGTTGTTAAACTTACTTAAAAAGAAAATATTAAGTTCACCCTAATAACAATTTATCTATTTATGCTCTAATGTTCCTAAGGTAAATTAAATCATTCATTTAATTAAATGATTGTTAAGGTAAATATATATATTTTGTAATTTACAAAATTTTGCATTTAAATAATATGTTTGTGACATAATTCGAATTTCATAAGCTAACCTCAACTTACAGACAAGGAAATAAAGTAAGAGATATGACACTTCGTTACAGCTGTCTATGGCATTTATCCAACGTATAAAGCTCGACAGGGGAATTACATTGAAATTAAGTCGAAATCAATTAGATTATAATACTCATCATTGTATAATAAAACAATAAGTAATCAATAGAAAAATTATTTAATTGCTATAATATTTGTGAAAATATGAGATATTAACTACTATAAGAAGCCATTGAATTTAAAGAAACATAACTGAAAACCCTTAAAATGTGAAAAAAAGAAAATTGAAAATAATTCAAAATTAAAAAGAGAAAGTGAAAGTGAAATAATTAAAAATTAAAAGCTTTTATTAAGTGATTATAAAACTAAAAAAATTTGTTGATAATTTTGAAGACTTTGATTAAAATTAATATCAAATAGATAGGTTACTGAATAAAGGGTTTATAAGAGATAAATTTGAGTATAAATAATAATTAAACTAATACAAAAGTCATAAAATAACATCTTAATTAATAAAAATCTTTAATCATGACTCGAAGAAATTACTCAAAACTTCATCAAGAAATTATAAAAAGAAAACGACAAAGACTCGGCTATTATAAAAGACGTGAGATGAGATGAGACAGTCTCGGTCTTTGATGGGACAAGGGAGGGATAGAGAAGAACCGTGCAGGTCTTTATTGGGTTGAGAATAAAAGTAACAATATATAGCATTAAAATAAAATAAAGCATAAAAGCATGCACATGGGACTGAATCACGTGTACCCACAGTCACATGCACGGTTAGGAAAAAGAGAGAGAATAGTAGATGTGTAATAAAATTAATTTCCTCAAAACTTCTTGGAAGCTTGGTGGTAAAGCATGCATAAAATTAAATATAAATTACATTAAACTTCGGTAAACCAATATATGAAACATTTTTTATCATTCCTTAAATAATTTAATCATAAAAAACAGGAAAAACTTTTTTTTATTATTTTTTTCCTGTTTGATAACAAATAAAGTCAATTCAGACTAGAGTATGTATTTTATCGTAAGTATTAGTGAATATTCTTAAAGCCCCTAAGTTAATATTTGCTCAATCACCACTTGGAGAAATAAAATCATATCTAATCTTACTTATATTAAAATTTTAAATACAATTACTAGATATATTATTTAATCTTATAAATTAATAAATTATTAATTTATCGAGACATTTTTATTTTATTTTTTCAAAATATTGAACTTAATGCATATATATATTGTTTATAGTTAATGTGGTATAAGAAATAGCTTATAGTTAATGCACTTAAAGCAACAATCAATCAGATTGTATAATTTTTTTTTGTAATACGAGAACACTATTCCAAAGCTTCTTAATACACTAAGAAAAGTTAAGAGATGAGATCTAAAAAGACATTAATTTCAAGAGAAAATAAGTAATAATGGACTTATATGTTACAAAAGGCCTTCTAATTGAGTTTTATATATATATATATATATATATATATATATATATTTATATATATATATATATATATTTATATATCACGTGATATTATAATATATTTTTTAATGTATTATCTTATAAATTTAATGAATTATAATTTACTACATTAATCCAAATTAGGATTGACAAAAAATTATTTAATGGAAGTATTGATTTATCAAATATTAATGTACTTAAAGCAACAACCAGTCACGTTGCATAATTTTCTCTGGCATAATTTCTTTATTCCTACCCACCCACCACATCTTAATCTTCAATAAGACGTATTTGAAAAAATAGATTTAATGAGTTGTATATGGAATTTAAGTAATGATTGTGGAATGAGTGTAAAATTTTGAGGAATCCAGCAAAAGGTGTTGTGGCGTTAATAATCCATCCATCACCAAATGCATATTGTTGTTGAGAGTTGTCATCAATGCCCCGACTTCC